TTTTTTTGAGAATCAGTTACTGTAATTGGTGGCGGCAGCTGCACAGGCAGAAGCAGCCTCTGGTGCCACTTTAAGAGAAAACAAAACTATAGTTAAAATATCTAAATTCAAAGTTCTGATGTTCTCCTTTCTTAAGGCATTGCTCAGGGGTCCCAGAGAAAGGCTGGAGATGCTGGGCACAGGCCTTGGAAACGAGGAGCCCGGCCCAGGCACGCAGGGCGCAGGCCTCACTCCAGGGCAGCGAGCTGCTCAATGGCGCAGCGCACTTTCTTTGCAGTTTCTTCAAATTCTTTCTTCTTGTTGCTGGTTTCCTTTGCGATCTCGTTCTTGGCTCTTTCTCTGTCCAGTTTCAAAAATTTACTGAGGGTTAATTCTTCAAACTGCTTCTTGACAGAAAGGAAAGCACAACCAGATGAATGCTTTTTATGTTCCTCTATGGGGTCATCATCTGGCTCCCAGCCCTCCAGCTCCTTGAAGCAGAAGAAATACTGTGCCAAGTCGGGCTCGTTCTCAGTGGGACAGTGGATGAAGCCAGCCTCGGCCATCCGCTCTGGGGTGCAGGCGCAGCCCTCCAAGAAAGGCCGGTTCTTGAACGTCGAGATGCGGTGGTCCTTGAGAAACAGCTGCCAGGCCGGGGGCAACGTCGGGGTGCCCATGCCGCCGCCGCCACCGCCGAGCGGTCCAGCAATTCAAACCCCCCATCTTCATTCTTTACAGAACTAGAAAAAATAATTCTACATTTTGTATGGAACCAGAAAAGACCTCGTATAGCCAAAGCAATCTTAAGTAAAAAGAACAAACTGGGAGGTATCAGTCTACCAGGCTTCAAGCTGTACTACAAGGCTATAGTAACTAAAACAGCATGGTACTGGTACAAGAACAGAGACATAGACCTCTGGAACAGGACTGAGAATCCAGAGATGAAGCCATCCACATACGGTAATCTAATCTTTGACAAAACAGACAAAAATATACACTGGGGAAAAGAATCTCTTTTCGATAAATGGTGCTGGGAAAACTGGATATCTACATGTAGAAGAATGAAACTGGATCCTCACCTCTCACCTCTCACAACAATCAATTCAGCATGCATATCAGACTTAAACCTAAGGCATGAAACCTTAAGAATTCTAAAAGAAGATGTTGGGAAGACCCTCTCAGACATTGGCCTAGGCAAGGAATTCTTGAAGAAGACCCCCAAAGCAATCACCGCAGCAACAAAAATAAATAAATGAGATCTGATCAAATTAAAAAGCTTTTGCATGGCCAAGGAAACTATCATTACAGTGAATAGATGGCCTACAGAATGGGAGAAAATATTTGCTCTCTACACATCTGATAAAGGGCTGACAACTAGAATCTATCTAGAATTCAAAAAAATCAACAAGAAAAAAATAAAACAACCCCATCAACAAATGGGCAAAGGAAATGAACAGAAACTTTTCTAAAGAAGACAGAATAATAGCTAGAAAACGTATAAAAAAATGCTCAACATCTCTAATCATTAGAGAAATGCAAATCAAAACCACAATGAGATATCACCTAACCCCAGTGAGATTGGCCTCTATAAAAAAATCCCAAAACAACAAATGCTGGTGAGGATGTGGAGAGACAGGAACACTCTTACACTGCTGGTGGGACTGCAAATTAGTGCAACCTCTGTGGAAAAGAATTTGGAGATACCTCAAAGAGCTAAAAATAGAAATACCATTCGATCCAGCAATAGCACTATTAGGCATCTACCCAAAAGAGCACAAAACATTCTATGATAAAGACATCTGCACCCGAATGTTTATGGCAGCACAATTCACTATTGCAAGGATGTGGAAACAACCCAAGTCCCCTCAATTCATGAGTGGATTATTAAAATTTGGTATATGTATACAACGGAATATTACTCAATCATAAGAAACGACAGTGATCTAGCACCTCTTATACTTTCCTGGATTAAACTTAAGCCCATTATCCAAAGTGATGTATCACAAGATCAGAAGAACGGGCTCCACTTGTACTCGCCATCAAATTGGTACTAACTGACGAACACTAGGGTGCTCACATGACAGTAATACTCCCCAGGGATTAGGGGGATGGAGGGGTAAACACGCAACTAAAGGACACAGGGAGCATTGTAGGGGGGAAGGGCATGCCTCTAACCCTCACTTGGGTGAGGCAAAGAAATAAAGTGTAACCATAATGTTTGTACCTTCATAATACCCTGAAATAAAAACAAAACAAATAATAATAATAAAAAAAAAAACAAAGAACTGAACCAACTCCTGGAGTTGCTCTGCCTGGACTTGTTAAGAGCTTGAAGTGCCTGGGAGTTTACATCCCCCTAGAGCCAAAGACTGACGGGCTAGGAGTCTGAAGCCCTTGGCTTCAGGGGGTGACTTGCAGGCCAGGCCAGGCCAAAGCTGGGCTTCCTCTTGAGATCACATCTGCTTGGCTTCTTCCCTTTCCCTGTTCTGCTTACCCCACTCTCTCACTGGCCTCCCCTGGAGGCACTTCCTCTGTAAATCATTTGCTCCTGTACTGCTGTCTCAGAGAGACGTTCTGGAGAACCTGACCCAGGACACCTGCCCCATGCTAGGCACAATGCCAAGGAAGGAAAACTCCTGGCTTCAGTGCAACTGTCCTTTGAGGGATATGATCCCCATACAAAGCAGCTAAAAGAAGTATGACTTAAACAGTAACAAGTTGTAAAAAATGTTGGGGCCCAATTAGACCCCCATCTCTATCATTGAGTGCCTATCGTGGTGCCAACACAGAGTGATGCTCATGTTAAGGAAGAGTGAACAGAGGCAGAGAGGAGATTAACTGAATCACTTCCCAAAGAGGTAGGATTGGTGTACTATTGGCAATAACACTGAACACAGAATGCATTCCTCTCTCTTTTGATCTAGAATTCTGCTCAGAAGCAGGTTCAAGGGCTGAAAGTGAGACACTTCCTCAGGGACCTGCCTCCCCTTTTCACCACTACCTTATTCAGGATGAGAGCTGCCTGCCAGAGTTGCTTGTTATGAGTTGTTTGTGTCCAGACCAGAGTCCCCCTTAGATCGTTAACTTTTTCCCACAGTCTTGTGGTTTAAATTCTCTCTGGGAGATAAGGACATGAATGAGATGTGTTACCCAGGGAAGTGTGAAAAATGCCTCTAGTTTTATTTCTGAAGAAATAGCCCCCATTCGCTTTCAATTCCCTAATCCTGGTTGACTCGCTTGTTCATTCACTCAGCAATCATTTCTGTACACCTATTGTGTGCCAGGCATTTGACTAACCTCCGCTCACTCACTATCTAATAAAGGATCAGCACATGATATTCTAGTTTAGCATGATGGGGGCAATGATAGCGATCTGCATGGGGTTCACAGGGGTACAGAGAAGGGGGACCAACCCTAACTCACCACTTCCTACCACATTCACTCAAGGCCAACTGTTTTCAAGTAAAGCCATGTGTGAATCAGTGGTCAAGGTTATTCTTTGTGTGACCACAACCTTTTTTTGCTGCAAACTTGACTGATTTCCCATTTGAAAAATCATTTACCATAAGAAAAATCTCTTCTCTCATAGCCCGAGTTTCCAGGGATAAAGAGAATGAAATATAATGTAAACCATTTCCTTCCCATAAATGTCAGGAGCTTTTGAGAAGCAGATTTATGCTGGATATGTACACTGTTGGTTAGATTCCAAAAGAAAACCAAAATGTCATGTACTATACACACAGGTAAGAGACATTCATCTTTCACATTAGATCCCAAAATGACACCTGGAAAAACCTCATTCCACTTCCTTTCTGAGCATCACCTCTGTGAATATCTTTGCTGCTGGTTTTATGAGCTTCTTGGCAATTGCATGATCTTTTCCACATCAAGGATGCAATTTTAAATGTTGCTTCTATAGATTTGATCTCTTCTCTACATTTAGAAAGAAATCCCACTAATTTCATCTTAAAAAGCATTATATTACACTCTGATTGGGGATGTGGGACTCATTTAGTTTACTGAGGAGGTTATTATATTACATTTCAAAATCCCATAAATGTTTACATGCTTTCATGCCACTCTTTAGCTATGGTTTTGAGGAAGTCAAATTGACTAAATTCAGTGAATAGATTTAGACCGTGAGGAAGGTTAAGGGTTCAGGGCTGACCCTCAAGTTTCTAATCTGTTGACTGGGTGTGTGGTGGAGCCACCAATTGAGAGAGAGAATCCAGCGCCAGGAGCAATTTGGAGGTGGGGAAGATAAAGAATGCATTTTAGATCTGTTGCGTTTGAGGTGCCCTTGGTGCCTGAGTGAACATGGCCAGTGACTGTGAGTCTGCTATGAGTGTGTGAGGATCAAGACTGGAGGGGTGGGTCTGGACATGATCAGCGTGTGGCGGCAGTTAAACCTGAAGGAGCATAAGGCCGTTGAGGAGTTCCAGAAGGTGGAGATGGACTGACCTTCAAGGGGCAGGCAGAGGAAGAGGAGCCTCCCCAAAACAGGGAAGTCAGGGCCAGAGAGACCACAGGAGAGTGCAGTCATATGAAGGGAAGGGAATAGAATGTTTTAAAGAGGAGGGGGTGTGCTATGGAGAGAATGTGTCCTCCCCTCCAGATTCATATGTTGAAGCCCTAACCCCCAATGTGATGGTATTTGGAGATGAGGCCTTTGGGACATAAGTAGATTTAGATGAGGTCATGAGGGCAGCTTCCTCATGATGGGATTAATGCCCTTATACAAAGAAAGACCAGATTCCTCTTCTCTCTCTCTCTCTTCCTCTCCCACAGCAAGGAGACGGCCATCTGCAAGCCTTATCCGGAACCAAATGGGCTGGCACCCTGATCATGGGACTGATTTCCCAGCCTCCAGATCTGTGAGAAATAAATTTCTATTGGTTAAGCCACCCAGTCTATGGCATTTTTTTAAAAATAGCAGCCCTAGTAGACTGAGACGGAGTGCTCAAGATGCAAAGAAATCCAGCAAGATTAGGACTGAGCACAGTATGGAGGTAATGTGCGACTTCTGTGGGAGGGTAGTTGGGGTAAGTAGGCAGAGGCAGGGTCTGATTTCGTGGTTAAAGCAGCAGCAAGCCTTCTGGGAAGTGTGGATGAACAGGAAAGGAGAGCGAGTACAGAGCAGACAGAGGGCAATCTGAAATAAACATTAGGCTCTCAGCGTGTTTTAGAGTCTGGGCAGAAGTTGCCAGTAGAGAAAGACAAATAGAAGGTGTTAGGGAAAGAGGGTGACTGGTTGGAGGAGGTGGCCTTATACAGGGGAAGGGAGGGTGGATGTGGATGAGACAAAGTATAAGGGTGTGGGGGTAGGAAGTTGGTGGTCATGTCTGATGACCTAGTTTTTCTCCATGAAGTGGAAGGTAGGGTCATCTGCTGAGAGTGAGACACAGGGGAAGTGTTGAGTAGGCACTTCTTGAGGACAAAGAAGGTTAGAATAATTGTTGATGGTGGAGGGGGGTGAACCCTCCCCCAGAAGATAAGTAACAAAATTGCTTAATTCGGGCACCAAATTAAGTTTGGAGAACTTGAATTTGTAATAATCTGGTTTTCTCCAGCAACCCTTGGTTTCAGAAGTGGAGAGAATGGATTGAGTATTGATCCTGCATGGGCATTTTGCAGGACAGGTGAGGCAGAAGGATACATGTACAAGAAAATTAAGGATCTGGTTAGAAAACAATCTAACCAAAGTGTTCT